TATTGATGAAAACTGTCATGGAACATCACTGGTTGCCGTTCTTATAGCAAAAATGTTTTTTTTTTGTTCCTGTACCTTTTGTTTTACTCACTTTTAACTCTCACTTCAGAGAGAAATTTTGCTCTTTGACATTTCTACAGCATTTTACCCGAAAAGTGTTGGATCAGAGCTAATGTGGAATGCTTTGCCGTTATCTCTTGTAAAAGACAAATCATCTGCATAATATAATCATAAACTTTTTATCTCAACTATATGTAGATCAGAAGCTTGGCTAAACCTCTTATGGGAGTAAATAAAATTAATTAGGGGAATAGACAAATTCGTAACTAAGTTGTAAATAAATGCAAGTTAAAACAACTAACATTGATTTCACATTTCACATTTTTTTCAGCAAAATAAATCATCATACAACAATACATCTCCCGAAAATACGGTAGACGTCAACAACGAAAAATTAATATTTTTATACCTACCCATTAACCGTAAATATGCAGCAAAACAAATACAAACACTTTATGCACGGCTGATTGTGCTATTGAACTATATTTTGCTTGATTAAATTAATTATCACAGTAACTTTGTATGTCCGTGAAATGTGATGCTATAATTTATAGCTTTTATTGTATTGGCATATGTGTATATATTTTTTTTTCCAAGCGAAAACAATTATAGCCAACAATTAACAGAGCAAACGAATCAATCTTGTTTTTATTGTTTTAAATAGCAAAATAGCATTGCTTCATAGACATGCCGGTCTGGGCTATGTAACTACTAGTGAGTTATACGATTATATGCACCATAATCTGCCTAAGTGGTTCATTTTCACAAATTTCAAATTGATTATATAGAAATTGTTGAGTTTATTCCACCCTCCAGCATCAGATATTATCTTTGCGCTAACCGCATGAATTCTGCTGGGGCAATGATCTGTCTTAGCCTCTAAGCGATGGCTGTGACTTTAAAATCATAAGAAATTCATTTGACAGCTTTCAATCCATCCTAATGCTTACAATTGCGTGTATGCTAGCGTTCGCTGAGCTGACATGAGGCCTCTTTGTTCCAGAACCACCCTTTGCCCGGTAATATCGTTTTAAGGGTATTCTTTAGTCAGCCATGCAGTTTCCGTCAATGTCATTATGGTCAGGCTGGCGCCTTATCAGTGTACCTAGAAAATATTCCGGGCAATTGAGAAAGAGGTTAAGTACGGCCTGACCAATTTCGAGCTCACAATCAGTGAGCTTTGGACCCTGAAAATACAAATGAGATCACCTTAAAGCTCAAACTGTCATTCCACTATTCTCCATCGTTTCTGCTCACCCCAAGTTATGATCAGGGTTGCCAGATATCCGGTTTTTGAAAAGCCGGGCACTTCGTTTGGTGAGGGGATGAAATGGAGGAGGGGGCAGAGAGGTGGAGTGTTTGTATGTGTGTGTTTAAACAGATAACACACTTCACAGTCAGTTTTTTTTATTGTTACCCGGACGAACAGACTAAATCCGCACTATCCGGTGAAAAACCGGACACCTGGCAACGCTGGGTATGATAGAAACCTTTTTTCTGCGTAAAATGGATTATATTAGTAACCGTAGTATTTAGATAGTGGCAGGACCGAGAAAACAGTTACACACAATTTTACTATAGCCTGTTTTCTTATCGTCTACCCCCGTTTGTGGGTGAATGAAGTACACATAGGCAACAGATTTAAGCCGATGACCGTAGTAAATCAACATTAAAAAATAATTTTTCCATACAGCTAAAACTGTTTGCATTGTTTACATTGAGACTTCTGATTTTTTTTTAACAAGTCATTTAGTGCATACCGAATACAAAGAAATGTGAAAAGTAAATGGTCGGTAATATAGGTGCTTGGCTTGTAAGTGCATTCTTCCATTATTATTATTTCTTAAACAAATCATTTCATTTCTTTTTGTGCGTTCAGCAGTTCAATGGACGCGGTGTAATTACTGCGCAGTTCGTTTTATACATTGTATGCATTTGGCAATGAAATGCAAGAGACTCGACACAAATAGCCAAAGCTCAAATAATTATAAAAACTTCATAAATTCATACCAAAGCTGATAATTCCACGTTTGTTTTTTTAATTGTTTTCTTCGATATATTAGGGTGCATCCGCTGATTTTTGAGAAAAAATATTTTTAAAAACCCATTTTATTTATAAAAAAAATCGATTTTTGGATGAATTTTCAAATAAATCCAGCTCATGTAAATCTTAATATTTTTGGGAAATATTTTGGCGGAAGTCTCAAAATAAAATAATTTTTTTATTTCCAATGAAAACACTGTATCGACCATTTTTCTATGGAGCGTGATGCACCCTAATAAATATGTATGTTTGTATTCGATTTCTGATTTTCTATTTAATCCAAATCCTCTTCTCTCCCCTCATTTAGGTGTGTGTTGTGCCAGTGTTGTTACGCAGATCAAAAACCCCAATGACACGGTGACCTCCTCAGCACGTTGTTTGCACAATCACACAGATTGCGGCGATGCTTTTCGCACATCCGTCACAATGACCAGCGCGACGTCGGGTAGTGGCAGCACCACCACCAGTGGCACTACATCGGGCACAGGCGCCAGCAGTGGCGGAGGTTCGATGGGTGGTGGCGTTGGTGGCGGTGGCGGTGCTTCGACCACAGGCAGCGGCGGTGAGCCGCCGAACGATAAGAATATACTCTCCTGCCCGAAATGCGGTAATCCATGCACGCAGGTGGAGACGTTCGTCAGTTCGACGCGTTTCGTAAAATGCGCCAAATGTAATCACTTCTTTGTCGTCCTCTCTGAGGTCGATACGAAGAAGAATACGAAAGAGGAGCCGAAAAATTATCGCAAACCACCACCACCACCGCAAAAAATTATGGAATATTTGGACCGGCATGTGGTGGGCCAAGACTTTGCGAAGAAAGTACTATCCGTTGCTGTTTACAATCACTACAAACGTATTCACCACAATTTGCCACAAGTGCAGACGCAAACGACCATACAGACCGCCGAAGCAATGGGTCGCACAGATTTGCTGCACATCTCCGGTATTGGACATACAATTTCCAACACACAGGGCACTGAGTTGCCGCCGAAGGGACATCTCCCGGGCAGCAGTGTTGGTGGTGGCGCACATCATGCGTATTCAGATTCCGGTTCAGAAATATTGGATAAGCAAAATTACGAAGTTAAATTGGAGAAGAGTAATATTTTGATGTTGGGTCCAACTGGTTCGGGAAAAACTTTGATCGCCCAAACTATTGCGCGCTGTCTAGATGTACCGTTTGCGATCTGCGACTGCACTACACTCACACAGGCCGGCTATGTGGGCGAGGATATCGAAAGCGTAATTTCAAAGCTGTTGCAAGATGCTAATTACAAGTGAGTAGCGCTTCAATTTTTTCTTGCTATGATGAGTAATAGTACTAATGCATTTTTTTTAATTTTCGTTCTGCTATTCCACTTTCCTTTCTTCGCCCTCTTCATCCGTCTACTTGTTTGGTTAGTGTTGACCGCGCTCAGACGGGCATTGTATTCTTGGACGAAGTC